AATAACTGAAAAATTTCACCTTAATTTCTCGGGTATAGCTCCAATTAGGTTCATACAGCCTTTTTTTTCTTTTTTGGCAAGGATGCTTTTAGCCTACTATCCTCTTAGTAACTAATAATAAATATACCATGAAAACCAAAATAACCAACCACATGTTTCTAAGGGCAAGTGTCAAGAGTGCCAGCTCTGACGTTAAAAAACTTGGGTTTAATTCTTTGCTCTTAACACCTCTACATTTTTTTATCCCAGTCCCAATTTTGTCTACATGATGCATAACAGGGGTCTACTTCCATGGCAAGGTTAGTAAAACTGCAGCATACTCAGAGTGGACTGAAAGTTATTGCAAAATCAACATATTATTACAAAAAACAAGATTAGCGTTTGGCCTAATTGTGTATAATGCAGTGTATTTTCAGCTGCCTGACAGCATGCAGGCACTCTTACCAGATGGGAACTGGATGAATTATTGAATGAAATATGAATTATTAAGTAAAAATTTGAATTTTTCTAAACTCCTGGCAGGGGGCAAGGAAGAAAGGCTTATTTGTTTACCTGAAATTGCCCTCATCTCATTTACATGTAAAGATAGCATATACCACCACAAATGGCATTTACCTACCAGAGCCATTTCTTTCCTTGTTATTCTCCAGTTCAAGATACTCCTCTAACATAAAGAATTAGTAACCAGCACCAACCCATTCTTCCTTGCTTTTCTTTTGTGCTAATGCCAGGTAATAGGGAAACTTGCCAACTGGGATAGAATTAAAAATCCAGAGTCCCTAGTACCGGTACAGCCCATTTAATGGGAGAGCTGGGATAACAGGAATAATCTCTATAGATTTGTGTTATATAGGTAATAAAACATATACCTTTGTAGCATGCCAGCATTTAACCAATCATAGAAGCTATTTGTTGCCTCATATATTACAAAGCAATAGAGATTTAAGGGATAATGTTCATGGAGGCAGAGGATACGAAGCAATAAACAGCATTGGAGGTTGGTTAAATGCCAAGTGAAGCCAGGACTACAGCACCATAAACATTATTCCTATTATATGACAAGATAAGGAGGTACAAGAAGCTGCCCTCAATCCCACCACAACGAGGGCTCTGCTGCTATTCTTGGCCTTCGAAAGGGAAAACAGGCCCTGGAGGTCTATGAGCTAGTTATATGTTTCATGTCTCAGCTAGAAAGATATGAACAGAACCTCAACCTGTACCTAAGTGTCCTCTGGGAGAAGAAAAGATCTGGTAGTAGATATCCTCAGGGGGGAAAAAAGAGTAACAGCCCCTCAGGGTCACACTGGACAGAGAAACAATCAAAGGATTTTCCTTAAAAGGACAGAGTTGATACACAGTGGTTATGACAGAAATCTTTCCCAATGGCTAATTAATGGGATGATACTAACTGTTCATTAGTAGTATCTCTTCAGACGAAGTGTGTTCCTGTTCTTAAGGAAACAGACATTCTAAATAATAAGCTTATATGATCAGCTTCTGCTCAAAGGCTTGATTATGGAAACCAGAAAGACTATTTAAATCTACATAATTTGTACTATAAACCAGTGTCATGTGCCGGAGAGGGAGGTACGGGAGTATGGAATTTGCTGACTTCTGATAATAAAAATTGGACAAAAAGCATCTAAAAGGTAAGTTATCTAACTATATCCACAGGAAAGAACATCTCAAATTCAAGATCACTGAGGAACATAGTAATTTTTTCTGCTTCCACATACAACAGAACAACTTTATAATCCTCCTTCAAGCAAAGGTGCCCTCAAAAGCATTAAAAACTTACAAGACTTCCTAGGTTTAGCACCAAACTATACCTCTATTATTTTAGTAACACAGAGGCAAAGCCATTTTATAGTCACAATGTTTTTAAATAGATGCTATCTTATAAACACTTTAAAAACCCATACAACTCAACCAGCCCTTTGCCACAAGGTATCTGGGGCACTGTTGCCTTAACAACACTAACTCATTCTCTGGAGGCAGCTCTATTAACTACTCCTGCTACCACATTCCATAGAGAGGTATTAGCAGGAATATTGCTTTCCCTGAGTTCCTCTTCATGAGGGTGATGAGGCCTCAAAAGAAACAGTCTCAACAAGAGAATAGGGATGAGAGGGCTCAAAAACCTTATCACCCGTCTTTTCAGATAAGAATGCAGAGAACACAACCTTCAGCAGCCATCTTTTTTAAAAAAGTACATGCAGCATATTTAGAACTCAGCTGTGTCACATCAGACTTACTGTTGGGAAGTGGATCGTGAACAGAATCCAAAAATAACAGCCATTAAAGACCTAGCAACCAAAACATGTTTACGTATCCATTGAAACCCGGTGGTTTTGATTATATGGTGGAGAGCATAATCCACTAGTCTATTTTAGGTGAATTTTCCTTTCACCTTCCCTTAATATTAAGGCGTAAGATGATTTCTGAGTCTAGGGGTACATAGAGTAAAGTCTGGGCAGGGAAGAGATAATGAAATAATGCAAGATTCCTAAAGTTTTTGTTTGTTGGTTGGTTTTTTTAAGGATTAGTCTCTTGAATTGTAATTTGCTTTCATTTCTTCTTCCTCTAACTGGTAAAAGCTGATTTTTGAGACTTCTATAGCGGTAAGTTCTAAACCATGCCTTGCAAAAATTATCATGGTCCTTATTACCTCTCCCGGGACTTACATAGCCTTTTTATTATTCTACCATTTCTAGAATAAAGAATTTGAACCGATGACAATGGATTATAAATAGCTTGAAGGTCTCAAGGTGGCTCCAGAATGCAACCATTTTCAAGGGATATAAGGAAGTTGGATGACAGGCCAAGGGTAGTTCACTTGACTAAATTTATCTTCTCTGCCAGGTTTTCACTATTTCATATAACATAAAGCAATCACAGTAAATCTTATTGAGATCCCACTCTAGAGTTATTTGTTACTAGATATTGGGAGAAATTTGGAAGGAGACTAAATATAACTAAAGAACTACAATCTCACCTGACCATAAAGTTTTGACATGCAAAGGAGGTAAAGGGATGTATCATGCTACCTTCAAAGCCTTAAATTGAAGCTTTCTATCCTTTCTCTATGAAACAAGTAACTTGAATCCAAAAGAAGGTAGCAGTCTCCTTGAGTTCCACAATCAATGAGTGAAAAAAAGCCCTCAGGACCTATGCCAGAGGTTATAATGAATCCTAATAACCAAAACACCAACAAATAATTCAGAAATGGAAGGGAGGAGTAGGAGAAGGAAAAGGCTTGGGATAAACAGAACCTAACAATACAAGAAGGAACGAAAAGTAAAAAGTCCCTACTGTTTTCCTACCTCTAGCCCCTCAAAAGGCAAAACAAAAACAAACAAACAAAAACAAACCCCTTGTGGGATCTCACAAATTTCAGAGAAAACTACTCTTTTTCTGATGAGATAGCCTGAAGAAACCCTATTTATATCTTTCGTCCTGAGAGAGCTTAGAAGATGTTTTTCCTGTGTATTGCATTATTTTTATCATCCATTTTTATTTAAGTCCTTGTCTGGGAGGTTTTAAGCATAAAACATACAAGAGGGGCACTGAGCAGCTTAAACCATAAGTGAAGAAAAATAAATCTTTCCACCAAAAATGCAGATTTTTAAAGTAAGGGAGATAAGTGAAAAGGGTACCAGGTTATCAATTATAGGAGTCATAGCAAATACTATTATCAACGAATTCACACACAAAAATACAGAGGGATCAGGTTCAGATACCAATAAAGCTGTCTGAAAAATGAAATAAATTTACTCTATTTTCCCAAGTGGCTTCTATTGTAAAAAAATAAACTATAAACCACATGGGGAAAACATGCAGTCAACAACATAGTTGAAAACATTGACAAGGAAGGAATTACACCCTATGATGCTGAATACTTCAGAATACAATGGCTTTCTTAGTTTTTTCTGAAATTTTCAGCATTTATTGGAATCTGGAATTGTCCTTCTGCCCATTCCTTGTCACCACCCCCATCTTATCCACCTCTCAAATTCCAATTCTTAGGAATCTCTGGAACTTAACTCGCTCTTCTTCTGGTCTAAGTATTTACAATGTTTAATAGAACTAGTCTGCAATCTCACATACCACCAGTAAGTGTCACTGGACAGTCACATGACATGTTCCTAACTGAACAGAAATTCAACCCTTTAGGTTCCATAAAATCAATTCATGAAGGTAGATAAAACTTTCTTTGTATTCCTTTTCTTCATCCTTTGTGGAACGTGGCAGTAGGGGAGGGTCTAGGAAGAAGAGTTAAGGAGGTGCAAAATGAAAAAAAAAAAAAGGCAGTTTCAACAAAATTACTTTATTAAAAAAGTATATGATGAAAACTATCTGACACATAATGTACACGTATGCAAACAATAACATGGCAGCTGACACACACAAGGCATTTCATGGCGTCACGGAAAATGGCTGAGAAATCGTGTAGTTTATATTTTGCTGTGAGATCTCCGGTTCTATGTTGGATTTGTCTTTCCTAGACATGTGCCTTAGTTGCTAACAATGACTTTCTGGATCAACGGTCAAAAGGAACAATTTTTTTTTTTTAATTTAAAAAATCAAAATAGACTCTGGCAAATTGAGGCTCACAATGAACGGGTGCATTCTCAGCTGCCTATCAAATATGTTCAGCAGACTTTTATATCCATGAAGGTTGAGGAGAAAATATTTCTAAACTTGCTTTGTATTTAGATGGATAGCTTTAGAAAGGAGGAAAGAGCAACATGTATTCCTCAACACTGTGTGCTGGGAAACAAACACCAGTAGAATAACAATATGAAAGAGAGCAAGGCAGATTTCATTACGGGAGAGTGCCTGCACTTCCTCATAACTTGGATTTACACACTGCAAATCCTCTGATCTGATTACCTCCAGTGATCACGTAAAATACCGGCTTTAAACTCTTTGCCTTAGTGATAAAACAGCCACTTTGATTCACAACGAGACATTCACAATAAAGTATATTGTAAACGTACCTGTCCACAGCCCGGGGCATTGCACACAAACGGTCTGTCGTCTCCCATATTTCATATAGCAGAGCGGAGCTGAGGAGGGGGAGGTAGGGGGAAAAGTTATGTTAAATACGCTGGAGTTAAAAAAAAAAAAAGTGCTTCAAAAATTCAAGCCTAGAAACAGGTGTTCCAAGAATGCCGTCTATCAAAGCTGTAAACACAGGCTACTTTGGGGAGACTCATTAGACAGGTGGCATATGATCTACTGTGCCTCAGTTGAAACTTTCAATTAGAAAAATTTAGACCTAAATAGTCAAAGAATTTCAAACCTTTTGCTAGATTTTCCCTCTTTCTGCTACAGTGTATAATACACTTCTCCAGTCTGCTGAATTACAACCAGTGCAGTTCCCTATGTCAATAAATCCACTGAACGCTCGATGCGGAAGCCATATTTCTGAACCAGAGAAGACCAAAATTTGTCATTTAATTAATTAAGGGATTATAGGAGGGGTGCTCCATTTTACAGGGCCATAATCTGGCTCCCTGGTGTATAAACTATGAGACTGTTGGCAAGGGCCGTTTATCCCAGATTATTGCCAAAGAAAACAAAGCACCCATCCTATTGGGCTACATGGGAAATGATTTTCATTAATAAAAAAATAAAAATAAAAACCTTCTCTCCCCACTGGGAGTCTCCTTCTCCCCCTCCACCAATCATCTGTGGCAAATGGAGAAATATCGGTGCCCTTCCCCCTCTGATTCTATTTATGGCCAGGTTTTTAAAAGCAGCAATAAAACAAATGTCAACTCTTTGGGGGTTTACTGGGTGAATATGTTCCGGCTGTTTGTGCTGCTCTCGGCCAGAGTTCTTGGGCTGCTCTGTTGCAGCCAACAGATGTGTGCTGCTGCAGGGGATAAAGAAACAGCACTAAAAGGCATCACCATCCATCCTCTCTATTTCTCTGAAGAATTTAACAGCGTTTATACTGTTGTTGTTTTTTAATTATTGAAGCTAAACTCTCGAAATGTTGATCGAAATTCTTTGTCAAAGAACAATAATTCCAATATGAATGTGTTGGGGCTATTTCTTGTATCCCAACCAGGAATAAAAATAGAGGTGGAGATGGATAAGGATTAGAAATGCAAATCATAGTAAAAATATTCCTAAAAGATAAACAGTATCTTGAAAGAGTGGAAGAGAAAAAGGTGGGGGAACACAAAAATATTCTTTATAGAATAAACTCCTAAAAGACATTTTCCAACATCCTTCTACAAGAGAGAAAGGCGCATGAAAGAATACCAACAAGGCAAGACGAAAGAGGAAGAACTACCATTTGAATATGCCTAGAAATGACTTCAGAACTGTAACCAAATTTCAAATTTTTATGTTGGAGATAAACCAAAATGTCAGGTTAACTTCAGTCAGGCCTGTATTAAAATAAAATGTTAAAGCACTAGATTGAATCTGGTCATCAGAAAACCATGCCTAAAACTCAGAGGGTAGCTAAGTAACGTCTCTCCTATTTGCTTAAGACTCACTCTGGGGTTGGAAACCAGTATTTCCGGTAGTCTGATCAGTAATTCCACAACTACTCGGTGTTTAAAATTGTGGGGTGCCCCATAAAATAGAAAGGGCTTCTTAGTCATCTTTCAGTGTGATAGGAACAGGGTCTAACTATGAAGGAAACTGATGCTGCAGCATCGCTGTAATGGAAGAGAGCCTGTATGTACATAGGTGTACACAGATTTATATCACATTTAGCCAGGATAAATTGCTTCAATAAATTCTGTTCCTAGGAGAGGCGAGCTCAAGCCGATGATTGGGTACTGGGAAAATGAGAGCTTTATTCTTCTTCACACAGCCCCAGGACACGGGGGTTTTCTGGTTTGTTCCTTTGTTTTAAACACATGATGATTTTTTTAGCACTTTCTGGAACTACGACATAGTGCAAAAAATGAATACAAGTAAACAAAAGTAAACAAATGCAAAGACCAAAGCTATTATGGCAGAAAACTCAGAACATTTCTAGAAAGCAATTCATCTCTGGAAAAATCCCTAACAACTGCTATGCTGGAGATAATTTCACTTCCTAATTCCAGAACCTGCTTTCCTAATATAATAACGAAATCTGAATTTTACTCAAACAAGGTCCTCTAACATATTTTCAACAAGGAAGTAAATTACAAGGGCTAGAGCAGACATAACATAAGGACCAGGGAGGATTCCTTACTTTTACCTTGGTTCTGTTATTTGAGGCTAAGTTTCCTCAGTTTTCTACTTGTTTAGAGGAAAAGGGTCCTGGGTGAGGTGTGGGGCAGCCCTGGCATTGGAAGTAAATAAATAAATTCTGGAATGGTTTCCCTCAAACCACAAAATTCAAAATTTAACTTGGTTTTGCACACTCACCTCATCATATATGGCTTCCAAATTTTATTTAATTGCATGCTTACTAGAAAATAGAGATGCAACTTTCTAAAAGCAAAGAAAAAAAAAAAGGCAAAAACAAATCAGGGGGGGAAAGCATTAAAATGTAACAGAAGTAAGCCTTTTCATGGCTCTTAAATATTCAATTCTGGCAGTCACTAACTAGAATTTCCTGCTTCCTTCCCACTTTGCTGGCTTTTGTTTTGCGTTTTCACTAAAGGGAAATCACAATGGGAGGAAGAAGGCCCTCTTTAATACTCACAATTATTCTTAAATCATTCCCGCAATCACTTGCCCCTTTTCATTTCTATCATTCTTGCTTTTTCACTTTAAAGTGATTTGTCTGTTTAAAGAATTAAATATTTAACAACAATAATGATCTCTCCCCCTACTAAAAAGAATTTCCAGCTAACATCTTTTTTTAAATTTCTCCTTCATTCTCAGTCTGCCCCATCAATTACTACATATAAAAAATGTCATCGCTTATTTCTATTTGATACTTAAATCTCTAAGAGGTCAAATAGATGCCATCTCAAAAACAAAAAGCAACATATTTCTGTAGGATAAACAGACTGAGACAAAAGGTGAAATCTTGAATAACGATGCTGCCATTCACTAGAATTTAACTCAGCCATTTGTAACTGTGTGCTTGACAAGTGGATCACCTGTCTGGGCACGGCACTCAAGTCTGTCGTATGCTTCTGGATCTATTCTTCAGGATGAAACTCAAGCATTTTATGGAACTAAGCAATAAATGACAGGGAAGGGATACACACATTCAGAGCGTTTCCAAGGGGAAATGAGATGCTTTCAATGGAGATCTTAGAACAGGAAAACAAAGATGCATAAAAAGACTGTCCTAGAGGCCACATCTGCTGAGGAAAAGGCTCATGTAGTCAAAGTCACCAGAATGCACAAATGATAAAAATTAGTATTGACTCAAAAGAGAGAAAGTGACTTGAATGGTAGGAGAGAAAATCATTAGAGAATTTAGAGAATGATTTTTAATAACTGAGATAATTTCATAAAATCTGTTAAATAGTTTTGTCAGAGCCAGAAGTATATCCTAAAATGGTCAATGTGAAAACAAGAAAACTGATTCTTTCTCTATATGTATATATTCTTTCTCTATATATGTATATCTATCTTTTACTTATTTATTTAATAGAATGAGGATGGGTCTCTCACTGAGGTCTACAGAGTCAGTTCTCTGGACCTGGTTGTAATGTGATTATTTCTTCAGTAACCAGCTGATGTTAATAAGATGGCCCAACTTTAAGTAAAGAATAAAAGCCATATACAAACACATCCAAGGGGCTGTTCTTAGGTTCCTAATAACAAAAAGTAGATATTGCTAGATACAAAAAAATGAGAAGGACATATGCACCATAAACATCAAAGATTCATGAAAATCTTGAAGGGGTTCAGACTAGCTATCATTCACTCATTCACTCAAAAAATATTACTAAGGAACTACTAAGTGCCAGGCAAAGTGGACACAAAAAGACAATAGTCTTTTGCAAAAAAAGGAATCTTTCATTGATCTGTGTCAAAGAAAAACCAGAGTTGGACAGTAAAGTGGTAAAAAACATATTTTATTCAGGACTATTGCAATAGGGGAAAAGAGACCTCAATACAGAACTGGGCTCAATTTCAAATATAGGATGGACAAGTGGGAATTCATAGCCAAGGACCAGGGTGGGGGTCGGTGGATGGAAAATTACCAAAAGGAAACATCAGGGGTAAGGGGGATTCTGGCTAAACCAACCTAACAAGATTCTTGCTGAAGACAGGCCAGGGTGATCAGATATCACTTGGGGGATGGTGGAGGATGAAGAACCTGATCAGATATGAGGGTGATCAGATATCCTGGGTGGGGGGTTCTTGCTAAACTGACTTAGCAGGGTTCTTGCTAAAACTGGATTTTTACAAGTACACAGATGGGCCTAAACGAAGGTTCAGGAGCCTGACTAAAGTTCGGTCAGGCAAAGAATCTTGGTCATCTGGCATGAAAGGTGCCAGGTAAGTGGTAAGAACGATGCTTTCTTTATAAGCTCAGTTAGTCAGAGGTTGATCAGTGTACATATTAGATGCCTTGCTATTTCTCCTATTCTTTAGGATTACTTATCAAATTCTTTTGCTAGCAATTCCAGAGTATAGACAAGAGCACAAAAAAGAGGGGTTAACAGTCTTGGTAAAAGGTTTCAGAAGGAGGAAGCCTGAAACTAATAACCACAAGTTCCTTTTGGGATCAAAAGTAAATTTAGTCAGTTTTAAAATTCATTAATTCACTGAATTCCTTGTTCAGTGCCTACCATAAGCTCTAGACCCTAGAATTCAACAGTGAATGAGACAGACAAGGTTTCCGCCCTCACACTGCCTACTTAAGGTCTAAACGAAAGAGACAAGCACTAAACAAGTAAAAAACAAAATAATTTTAGATTAATAGCAGATAATTGCTATGAAAGAAACCAAATGGTGATGTGTTAGTGACTAGGAGTGGACTAATTTTGTTTCATGAATAAAAAGAAAATGGTTGTATTATCTGTGACCAAAAGGGGAATGGGGTAGAATATAGAGCTCTAGGTGAAAGCCTTTCCTCTCTTAACGCTTGATGTTCAATAAATATTTACTGATTTAATCTGAAGTCGATATTCAAGTATATTTT